AAAGTTTGATAAATTAAAATGTTCAGAAATATTTTAATATAAAGGAAATTTAAAGATTATACATCACATGGCATAACTGTAATGACCACTAGATGGTAGATCTCATGAGAAGAAATTAGTATGTTTTGTGTAGTCAATATAATTCAATGTTAAACTGTATAATAATAATGAGATATAAACATTGTAAGCCATTGTATTGATGCTGCACATGTTTTTTTGTTTTAATCTAGGTCAAGCATGACAGATCCTTGTGGCAATAAATCAGGAAAGCATTCAACTGGACATCGACTGTTGGAAAGAGACTTTTCATCTGATCTGCAAACTGTGATGGAAGATTCTACAGAGTCAATTTGATACAGAAGATTAACAGACTTACAAAGAAATAAAATATTGACACTAATATATATTCCTAAATATTAACAGAAAAGAAAACAGACAATGAAAAGTTATATAACAGTTATGAGTATTAATACCAAAAGAGAGTACTTAGAAAATTATGATAGGATAGTATTATGAAAAGAACTATTATATTATTACCTATACATAGAATGAGAAGTATCAGAGGTAGATAAAATATGAAGTTGATAAAATAAGGATCATGTTTACTTAATACCACAAAGATTGAGTTCAATAGTATTTCATAGATTAACTATAATGAGTAATTTGTTTATATCGAGGTGAAGTAAAACAAACAATGGTAACATAAGGAAGAAAACTAAGGAAGGATAATTTATATTGATTAATATTAAGTAATGGTATACATTAAGAATGCCTTGGATATAAGAGTTCAGAGATCCAAGAGGAATTGAATTGAAAGAGTATAGTACACAATTATATTTGACCTAAGTCTATAAAAGGTATGGGCTAGGGAGAATAGGTTTCTGGATAAGGTGATATCCAATTAATAAGTTGTTTTATGATTACCCTAAGTTTGTTAGACACTGGGCCATCTATAATATGAATAGGACCCTGGGCAAAGAATTTTGTTGGGCCCCCTGGGTCCTGCGACCCTCCAAATCCACCCTGCCCGCCAATCACGCCCAACCCCCAATCACACTGACATACTGACACATACACACACAGACAGATGTATTAAAACATTCCCAGATACATACTGACACACACATACACTGACACAAAAATATATACTGGCAGACATATTGACACACATTCAGACATACTGATACACACACACAGACACACATACATACACACACACAGACACATACACTGACAGATATACTGACACACACACACAGACACTGACAGAAATACTGACACACATACAGACACATACACTGACAGACGTATTGACACACACACACACAGACATGCTGACACACACAGGCATACTGACATACACACAGACACACTGACATGCACACAGGCAGACATACTGACACACACAGACATACTGACACACACAGGCAGACATACTGATACACACAGACATACTGACACACACAGGCACACTGACACACAGACAGACATACTGACACACACACAGACAGACATACTGACACACACACAGATATACTGACACACACACAGAGACATACTGACATACACACAGACATACTGACACACAGACAGACATACTGACACACACACAAACATACAGACACACACACAGACATGCTGACATACAGACAGACATACTGACACACACACAGACATGCTGACACACACAGACATACTGACACACACACAGACATACTGACATACACACAGACATACTGACACACACACAGACATGCTGACACACACACAGACATTCTGACACACAGACAGACATACTGACACACACAGACATGATGACACACACACAGACATACTGACATACACACAGACATACTGACACACACACAGACATGCTGACACACACACAGACAGACATACTGACACACACACACAGACATACTGACATACACACAGACATGCTGACACACAGACAGATATACTGACATACACACAAACATACTGACATACAGACTGACATACTGACACACAGACAGACATGCTGACACACAGCCAGACATACTGACACACACACAAACATACTGACATACATTTAGCCACCCTCCAATCACCCTTACCTTTTCTGGAGAGTGGTTTCCCTGGGGTCCAGTGGCAGGCTCAGGCAGTTGGGAGTTCTCCTCTGAAACTCCCTCCTCCCTCCCTTCCTCCTCCTGTGCGGCTCTGGTCTCGGGTGGGAGGAAGTGATGCACGGCACTCACTTCCTCCCAGCTGGCTGCCAAACAGGAAGGGGCCCGGTCGACCTGTTTAAGCGTCACAGTGCCTGACCGGGCCCCTGCTGACAAATGCCCACAGGGTGGCCCTCTTTAGCGTGCGGGATGCTATGGCTCTCTCAGCTGCACTGCCGGGTCCAAGGGGGGCTGCGCCAATCGCGGGGCCCACGGGGCAGTTGTTCTGGGGCCCCCCAGACACAATTTGGCCCGGGGCAGCTGCCCCGTTTGCCCCGCGCTAAAGACAGCCCTGGTTAGACACAGATTAGGAATAAGAGTTTCTGGGCAGTATGACCCCAAGTTTATTTTATTTTATTTTAATTTAGTCAGTTGAAGTGTACTAAGGAATATGGATTGGTCAGAACATTAGGACAATCCTGCTTTTAAGATGTATTACATTAATAAGTCATCACAATGCTAATGAAGAGAGTGATGCTAATGAATTTAAATTATTCTTTCCAAGTTATTTTAAAGTAAACTATGTTCTATTGAATGAAAAGTTTGTCACTACAACGTGGAATTTTAGTGAAAATTATGTAAACAAAAAAAAATCTATGATAGAAAGATTTCTAGGTGGAGAATTTCTAGAACAATAGGTATTGTCAACACCATGAACATTATTTGAAGAATTATTATAGAACTTCATGGTTGATAACACATCCTTTGAATGAGTCTTATAAGTAGTGTTAATATATTTCAGTTAGTGAGAGCCTACTGAATATACAAATTAAATACTATGATTGTAAAGTAATTATACAATTATCACTAGGTGGTATTAATGGTATAGGAATGTAATTCATGAATACAAATGACATAAACATTTTAAGGTTGCTAGAAAACATATTATTCATGGAAGTATAAGTGGACGTATATTATAGTACTACATGTATTAGTATTTTAGTAATATCAGGTATTGATAATGAAAATACTATGTTATATGTGTCTGTAGGAATATGATAGTGATACACAGTTATTATTTAGAAAGTTATCATCTTGATTTTGTTATCTACAAAGACATGACTGTACCAGAGCAGGTAGATCTTTCTGATTGTTTTATTGTTTATTGGATCAACATTTGTAAATATTTTATTTTATTCATTTGTTATTGTTATATGTATATATTATGTTCAAGTAGTTATGATGTAACATGGATATGGTTATCAATACATAGCTGAAACAGAGGGAGTTTTGGAGTAAAGTAAGCAGTATGAGGGATAGAAACTCGATGTCACGAACACACACTACTCCAAGTGTGCGCGTGCCGTAGTTGTGGTTGTGAAAGGGTTAAAGTTCACTATTTGTCTGCACTAGACCGGAAATAATGACAAAATCCCCCTTTAACACCACCCACACTTGAACATAATAATATAACTATTACTATTTTAACGCTGCCACCACCAAGACAATTTATAAATGGGGTGCCTTGGTCCCCCAGGTAAATCAATAAGAAAACCCACCAAATATTACTTAGCACAATATTTAAGGAATTATAAAAATACTAACTAGTCTCTTCAGGTAACAAGACAAAGGCAAAACTTAATAAATGAATGTTTATTATGAGCAAAAGATAGTCACAGTGCATATAAAAATATATGATAAACAAATTATTTACACCAACAACAGATAAAAACAAAAAGGATAAAATACAGAAGTCCTAATTACTCACTTAGGTTTTCAAAGTACAACTTCTGTCCAGGGGGTCTCTGGCAAGGAAAGATGGTGACTCACTCAAAATTAGATCTTGGCCCCAAGCAAGTACACAAACACCCTTCAGGATCATTAGATATATACCCTGTGGTTTATCAAGTCTAGCCCAAGGGTGGAGTTAAGGCATACCTACAGTAATAATAACTGACCACCTCCTTTGTTCCAGACCACTGTCAATCCAAATGGAAACATTTGACTCTATCTTCTTTTTTGTACCTGCCACAGAAATAATAATTGCATCTACAAAATTGTTATTATTTTCCCATTCCATAGACATGTTGCACGTCCCACCCACGATCTTATAGGACGGACATCACAATTCCTTTCCCTAGGATCAAGTTAGGCCACTCATGTTTGGACTTGGTTAGAAGATGGCGCTTGTCACATTCCAAATATAACAAAAATGAGGCTTTATTATTATTCTGTGGGGGTAAATATGAATGTTTTTTGTCCTTCCTTTGGATATGATACTAGAACAAAGCTAGTGGCATTTACATGTCAAAGAGATTTACTCATCCCTTACAAGGTACATGCCAAATGGATGAAGAGACATTCAGACTTTTTCCAAGTGTAGAACCTCACACCTTGCAGAGCTTTTATTACTTCACATCCATATAGTAAAATCCTTTTCACATTCCTATGCCATTCACATTACCCCTTCTGTCATCTGACCTCTGTGGGGGTCCCAGCTTCAAAAGATGTAACTCCTGTTGACCTCAGCAATAGCTTCTCTGTAATTTGTGCCATTTACTACACAAATTACATTAAAAGATGATATTCCATGGTGTAATAATAAATTATACACCCTTGCCGTGACACCTCCCCCAAATATTAGACGCAATGGGAGAAGGCTCACATGCCTCTACCTTGCGTATCAACACTCGTTCCTTTTTGCCTCCACCTCATACACTCATCTTGTTCATAACTCTGATTCTCCATGAATGGGGTAGCCCTAACGTGTTCACACACCTCCCCCAAAAAGGCTTGCCCTTTGTCCCTAAGCCATATCACAGCCATATCCACAACACGCATGCCTGATTTGCCTGTTTCCATCTCCCACTGCGCTCTGATCACATCTCTTGGGCCACACCCACTGGCCCGTGTAGTAGCTCTAAGGGGAAGAAACCAACCGATTTCTGCAGTACTCCCCTGTAAGCACACAAAAGATGAGACAGAGGACACTCCCAGTGTACCTGCGCTGTATCCACACTCCTTATCTCGTTTATTTTGTGGTCTCGTTGCACCTTTTTACTCTGAACCTTTGGTTCAGAATCAACAAGTTGCTTAGAGACAGACTCCTGCTCCTTAGCTGACTTGTGTGTATATGTGAGGTGTGATTGTGATAAGCTGACAAGGTTCCTGGTTCCGCCATCAGTATGCTCCGGTCCACTGTTGCTCGGTTGGCAGTGTGGACATCTGCCAGCTTACCCGCTTCCAATGCTGTTTTGGGGTTCCGGTCCAGCAGCCATTCCTGTACATTCTCCCTGGGACCACAGGCTGAGTCTGTCCCTGCCCCTCGCTTTGGGCAGGCCGTGGACGGGTCTCCCTTGCTACTGATGGAACCTCTGTCTCTCCCTCATTTTCACTCCATGTCCTCACATATACAGAACCTTGGGAACTAGCTGAGGGCCCACACACACTCTGCCCTCCCTCACAGCCATGCTTTCCCTTCACACTTTCATACAGCCCACCTGATACATTTGCTTCAGGCACATATTGGCACACACATTCATTCAGCCCTCTCTCCCTAAAAACCTTTTCTTGCACATTGTCACAGGACACCTTTGACACCCCTTGGTCAGGCACATAATGTGGTACACACTCACGTAATTTCCTCTCCCAGCCAGGCCATCCTTCCATAATCTCACATAGCCACTCACTTTCTCCTTGTTCTGGCACCTGACATACTCCTGACTGAGATACAGGTGAACACATCAACTCATCCTGCCCTGGTTCCCAATGGTTTGATCCACTTGTGTTTTCACATGGCATCTTAAACAACCCTGGCTCTGACACAGATAGACACACACGCTCATCCAGCCCCGCCTCGCTGTGCAGCTGTTTTTGCCCACTCACACATGGTATTGCAGACACCCCTAGTGCTGGCACAGACACGCACACATGCTCAATCTGCCCTCGCTCCCAGCACAATTGCCGGCATACACCTTCACCTGTTTCCACAGACACCCCTGGTTCAGGCACAGATTGATACACATTCTGCCCTCCCTCCCAGCGAAGTTGCCTTGGCAAACTTTCACCATGTGCCAAAGAAAACTCTGGTTTTGGCACAGCCTGGCACGCATGCTCATTCTGCCCTCCCTCCCAGCAACTTTGTCTTGGCACATTCTCACATGATATTGCAGACACTTCTGGTTCAGGCACAGACCCGCACACATGCTCACTCTGCCCTCCCAGCACAATTGTCTGCATACATTTTCACATACTGACCTCTGCACAGTAGGGCCCCTATGAGGCTTGGGTTTATAACATACATTACTTTCAGACACATACTGGGATAACAATCTACCTAAGTCAGTACCAAGTAATACATTTGCTATTATATATTCTCATCTACCCCCACATTTCTGAAACCCTTCCCCGCTCCCCAATCCAAATAAACTCGTGCTATTGGCACTACAAGTCGTACACCCCCAATTCCTTTAACTGCTAGAGTCCTGCCAGGAATTAAGTCCTCAGAGCGCACTAGCTCTGGACGCACAAGAGTCACATCTGCCCCAGTGTCCCTGAGTCCCACAGTTACCTCTCTTCCAACTGTCACAGGTTGCAGATTCACATTGTTGCTGCCCTCTGATCTGGTTACAAACAACACAGAGGACGTTGGTTCTGAGGAGCGTCCCTCCCCAGCTGATGATGCTGGCTGCCGTTTCACAGGGCAAGCAACACTAATGTGCACCACTTGGTTGCAAATAATACATCTGCGACTATCTCCTTGCGTAGACATGGCACTAGCTCCCCCTCTCCCTGAGGTAGGAGCTGAAACAAAAGATGGCCCACTAGGCCTGGTGATGGGGAGTCGTGGTGGTGTGGTCCTCCAGCTAGATGTTCCCTTGGTAAACCCTCTGCTCCGGTCCACTGTTGCTCGGTTGGCAGTGTGGACATCTGCCAGCTTACCCGCTTCCAATGCTGTTTTGGGGTTCCGGTCCAGCAGCCATTCCTGTACATCAGCTGGGCAGAGCTGCAAAAACTGTTCTTTTATTAACAGGTCTTGCAAACTTTCCAAAGTGGTAATCTCCAGCCCTGTAGTCCATTGTCGGAATGCTGTCGCCAGGTTCCCTACAACTGCTGCATAACTTTCTGTGGGATGCTTTTGCAAAGTCCTGAATTTCTTTCGGTACACCTCAGGAGTGAGGTTGTACCGTTCCTGCAAGGCAGCCTTAATCGCATCATAGTCCTGGTCAAATTCTGCTGGAAGCACAGTAAATGCTTCCAGTGCAGGACCTCTGAGACCAGGGGTGAGGTATTTTGCCCATTGGTCCTTTGGTAGCTGGTACTGCCTGCAAACTTTTTCAAAACTGCACAGGAAAACATCCAAATCACCATCTTTGTCCAAAGTTGGAAAATTCTCTGCACGTGGTTTGGGTGCAGAAGAGTCTCTGGAATTAATACTTATAGGGGAGGCAGTCAACCTCTCTAACTCATCCATTTTTAGCTCATGCTCTCTGGCAGCTTGTCGCTCGGAGGCCTCTCTCTCAGCCTGCCGCTCTGCAGCCTCCCTCTCAGCAGCCTCTCTCTCTCAGCTTGGCGCTCAGCAGCCTCTCTCTCTCTCTCAGCCTCCTGATATTGAAGGATAAGCTGTAGTCTTTGGTTTGCATCTGCTGAGTCCACATATTTTAACACTGTTTGTAAGTAACAATCCAAAGGATCTGCAGATCTCGGTACATCACGGACAAAAGCTGCAGGTATCTCCTCTGCAGTGTTTGAGGCATCATTTTGCACTGCTTGTTGCATAGTCCACCAGTGCTTGCAATAGTTCCTCTTTTGTTTTTCCCAGACAGGGAATAGATCTCTCCCGGCAAAGCTGGTCTAGCGCTGCCTTGGATTGTGCCTGGTACTCCATTTGGTAAATAAAAGATAGGAAAGAAAAAACAGAGAAGGGAGGAGGGGGACTGTTGAGGTGTAAATATATTATATATGCACAGGCTGCTCACTGTTTAGTGGACATGCCCCTACTCATGGTATAGCGAGTAGGGGCATTGGGGAGATTTTAATCTCCCTTATGCTGTTATGGGGGTCATATTGACCCCCATGAAGTGGCGGGGAGCACAGCTCCCTGCCGCTTCTATCTTTACATATTACAAGGAGGGAGCTGCGTGCCGGTAGCTCCCTCCTTGTAATAAACTGAACGAACAAACGAACGCAGATACACAGTGTTAGTTTGTTCGTCTGACATTTTTATTCATTCGGCTTTCTGATGAATGAATGGATTAAATTTCCGTTCACATGTCCATAGCCCATAGGGACTTCATCTACCATCACAAAGATGGTGGCGCCCTGAATATAGATCGTAAAAATAAATAATAAAAAATAGGTAATATGGGGGGCTTAGGGGCATTTGGGGGTGACTAAGGGGTCAATTAGATGTAGTGGGGGCGGGAGGGGGGGTTAAAAAAAAATGGGATTCGGCATGACAGTGCCGCTTTAATGTACAGCATTGTAGCCTATAGCTGCTGTTTTTAACACATTAAGTTCGGTGGGTTACCTTACCAACCGTAATTTCCTTTTTTTTATTTAGTTTCATATTAAAAGCTAAGTTTTATAATCACCCCAGAGGCGTACCGGCGGAGGTTCAGGGACCCTAACAAATTGAGTGGGAATTCATATACCGAGTGGGCATGCCGTATCAACCGCACGGCCGTCCACTAGGTCACTGGATGCCAGGCGGTATCCGGAGAGGAGGTGCTGCAGCTGTTCATGCTGGAACATTTCTATGAAAGACTTTCTGCAGGGGTAAGAGAATGGGTCCGGGACAGAAAGCCACTGACACTTCCTGAAGCAGCTCGCTTGGCTGACGAATACTCTGATGCCTGCAAGCTGGATAACCCAGTGCCCAAAGCTGCCTCTTGCCCGGAGTACAGGCCAGTGCCCGCAGCCCCGGCACTGGTATACAGACCTCCAGCACCCCCTCCATCAAGCCAACAACCACAACCACCGAGGTACAATCCACAAAATTTCTTCTAGCACATGAAATGCCATGGTTGTCACCAGATGGGACATCGCAAGGTGGACTGTCCCCTAGCTCCAGCCAGTCAGTCCCAGTCCTGGAGGGGACCAGCATGGGGGATAACCCCGTCCAGCAGTACCGGCTGCCCATTGTGTTGATGAGGAAGAGTGCTGGGGTATCCTGCATGAGGCTGACTCAGTGCAAGCAGCTAGCCCAGATAACCGGCAACAGCATCGCCAAACGGTCAAGGCAAAGCAGCAACCGGATTGAGAGACACCGGTGCTAGAAGGTGTTCCAGAAGGGAATCGTCCCAGAGAATCAGCACACCGGGGACAGAGTGGCCGTACGGGTAGCCGGAGGTACTGTGTTTAGGCTACCTGTGGCCCGGGTCTACCTGGACTGGAGGGTGGGCTCTAGACATGTTCATGTGGGGGTTATGAAAGACTTGCCTGCAGACGTCTTATTGGGGAATGATTTGGCCCCCCTTTTGTCCGCTTATGCCCCGACGGGCCACCACCGTGCCCAGACCCATGCTACCGGAGCTACATGCTACTGAGACCCAGGTAAGACTCTCTCCCCTTACATGTACAGTGGACCAGGCCTCCTTAGGTTGGGATACACCCGATACCTTTGGGAGGGAAATCCGGGGGGACCCGACTTTATCCAAGTATAGGGCTAAGGCAGATTCCGGGGAAGAGGGGGTAGACGGAGAGCACTTTTAGTGGGTAGGGGATAGACTATATAGGGTCCCTAAGCCATCCCAGAAAAGGAAAGCAGCTGCACAGAAACGCCAGCTTGTGGTGCCCCAGAAATACCGGCTAGAGATTCTGCGAATTGGCATGATGTGCCCTTAGCCGGACATCTAGGGTCCCGTCGCACAGGACATAGGATCACTCAGAACTTCTTCTGGCCAAATTTTAACCAGGCTGTGCGACAATATTGTAGGACATGTGACACATGTCAACGGGTAGGAAAGCGGGGGGACCACCCAAAAGCTAGTCTTATGTTTATGCCTATCATTGGGGAGCCCTTTTCCCGCATAGCCATTGACATTGTGGTTCCACTGGCCAGGGCTAGTCCATCCAGGAAGAAATATATTCTCACCGTGCTGGACTATGCCACCCGTTATCCAGAGGCAGTAGCGCTGTGTAATATAGAGGCAGAGACAGTAGCTGATACCCTGGTTAAGATTTTTACCTGGGTCGGGTTCCCTAAGGAGATTCTCTCCGACCAGGGAGCCCAGTTTATCGCTGTGCTCACTCAGCAGTTGTGGAAGGTGTGCGGCATTAAACCGCTGCTTAGTTCACCTTACCACCCACAGACTGACCGTCTATGTGAGCGCTCTAACGGGTCTCTCAAACAGATGCTGAGGACCTTTACTGACACTTGCAGAGACTGGGAGCGATTCCTGCCTTATCTGTTATTTGCGTACAGAGAGGTGCCCCAGGAATCTACTGGGTTCTCTCCCTCTGAGTTGCTCTATGGGAGAAGGGTCCGCGGACCCCTAGATCTCATCAGAGGGCACTGGGAGGGAGAGACATTGTGCCATGTGTTCTGGAACTCCAGGACCGCATGGAGAAACTGTCTCTGATGGTAAGAGAGAATCTCCAGACGGTAGGGCAGAAGGTTTTAGTGCTCAAACTGTCCAGGTAGGGCAGAAGGTTTTAGTGCTCAAACCTGTGAAGACAGACAAGATTCAAGCATCCTGGCAGGGCCCGTACAAGGTAGTAGTCCAGGTATGTGACACTACCTATGTCGTTGCCAGCTGTGCAGATGAAAGGATCCAGCGATCCTTTCATGTGAACATGCTGAAGGAGTATCAGGAGAGACCAGAAAATGTCGCTGCAGTGTGTGACCCGGCTGCAGACAATTTAGAGGGGTTACCATTACCTGACTTACTGGAAAGGGATCTCCAAACTGACTTGACGAGCCTTTACAGCTAGGGGACGGGGTAAACCCTGTGGAAAAGGATCAGGCTCAGAGGCTTTCTCCCAAGAGCCAGGCTATACGACCCTGACTGTACATAAGGTAGAGACTCTTGGACAGACTCCCCTGCGACAGCCTCCTTACCGTATCCCTGAAGCAGTCCGACAATTTTACCATCAGTTATAGACCCGGTAAACAGAATGGCAATGCTGGCAATGCTGATGGGTTGTCCCGGCAAACAGACATCACTCCAGCACCCGAGTTCCGGACATCCCCAAGTTGACCCGAAAAGGGCCAAGCCTGGTCTGCCGGAGTTTTCCACAAGGAGGGAGTTGTGTAATAGAACAGTCTGTATATGGATTACATGTATTTTCATTCTATTCGTCTGTTTGTTCGGTTTATTTCCCTGCCCGTACAGTCCCTATGTGTTCCCCTGTTAAACTACAAAAAGCCGCACGAAGACGCGACCACCGGGAAGCTGGCGTGTGCCTTCAATTCACCTCCGTGAAGCTAGCGTGTGCTGTCAATTGACCACCCAGTAGCTGCGGTTAACCACAGCTTAATTGACTGTTACTGGGTGGTCGCGGTTACACCTAGCCGCCACACGGTGGCAGTGTTATGGAAGCTCCCCGGACGGCCAGCGGTGCTCAGTCCGAAATCAGTGCACTAAAAGCGGACAGCACTGCTGAGCCTCTAACCTTCTCTGATTTGCGTGCCAGTTATTTAACCGTACACCGGCTTTCGGGACTTTGTATTATGTGAATGAGGGTACCCACATAGCATGCATGCCATGTAGCCTGTTCGGGTGATTAAAGACTTCGGCTCCATGGCAATTGAACTGTATGTGTGTGCTCTGAGCGCTATTTTGTATAAATGTGCGCTCAGACCTGAGCTATCTGGGGATATGTTACATGTGTGTATTTGTTACAATATTTGTCACATTGAATATTTTACAGTATTTCACTGTTTCATTTTCTCCACATATGTAATGGCTATTTGCCTCTGTCCTGGGAGATAATTGAGTTACTTCCCAATTACCTCCTGGACAGAGAGGGAGGAGTTGTGATGCATTGTGGGCAGTGGCGTACACATGACCCATGGGGCCCCGGTGCAAAAATTGATCCGTGGGCCCCCCCATCCCCCGCGCTTACTCGGCGCGGGTCGGGGTCGCAACACATGGTGGCGGGCACCTGCTCGCAGGGGTTGCAGGGCTGCGACCCCGCGACCGCGGTATGCACACACACTTAAAGGACCACTACAGACACCCAGATCACATCAGCTCAATGAAGTGGTCTGGGTGCCAGGTCCCTCTAGTTTTAACCCTGCAGCTGAAAACATAGCAGTTTCAGAGAAACGGCTATGTTTCACTGAGGGTTAATCCAGCCTCTGGTGGCTGTCTCATTGACAGCTGCTAGAGGAGCTTCAGCGATTCTCACTGTGAAAATCACAGTGAGAAGACACTGAACGTCCATAGGAAAGCTTTCCTATGGGCGGTTTAAATGCGCACGCGCCTCTTGCACACACACTAACACACACACACACACACATACACACACATACACTAACAAACACACATACACTAACACACTAACACACACATACACTAACACACACATACACTAACACACACATACACTAACACACACACACACATACACACACATTCACTAACACACACACTAACACATACACTAACACACACATACACTAACACACATACACTAACACACACATACACTAACACACACATACACTAACAGACACAAACACGCACACATACACTAACACACACAAATACACTAACACACACACTAACACACACACACACATACACTAACACACACACTAACACATACACTAACACACACACACACATACACTAACACACACACTAACACATACACTAACACACACACACATACATACACTAACAAACACACACTCTAACACACACACACACACACACATACACTAACACACACATACACTAACACACTAACACACATACACTAACACACACATACACTAACACACACACATTTTTTTTTTTAAATTTAATCCCCCCAGCCTCTATACCTTTTGGAGTGCTGGGGGGATTCCCTGGGGTCCAGTGGTGCTGCTGACCCCAGCGGGCAGGTGGCCGGTCTGGCAGGCGGACGGGCGGGCGCGCGAGGGAACACTCAGTGCTTCCTCTTCAGCTCCCTCGCGCGCCGCGTAGGGTTGCCGGCGCTGGAAGATGACGGCATCTTCCGGCTCCGGCATCAGTGCGGTGCGCGAGGGAGCTGAAGAGGAAGCACTGAGTGTCAGCAGGGCCAGCCTGGGGGGCCCTGGGGTGGTCGGCTCCTGGGCCCCCCTGGAGAAGAGGCTGGCCCTGTGGCTACATACCCCCTGGTGGGCCGGGCCCGGTCGCAGCCGCGACCCCTGCGACCCTGGTATGTACTCCACTGATTGTGGGGATATTTTGTATCTGTGTGTTCAGATTTGCTATGTGTCTGACCTTGTAACAGTCTCCCATCTGGTCCCCTAGGGGAGTGTCCACCAGGAGGGAGACCTGCATAAGTAGCCCTCAATAAACCAGAATCCTGTTATACCCTCAATACGGAGCCTGGTCTTGTGATTGGGGGGATTTACTGTACGTGGTTAGAGACTGATTGCTGGGAATGTAAGCCGCTTGGATGCTGTGGCTGTTCGTCTGTTAGCAGCTATTCGTGAGATTACCGTTCGGGAGTTTGGAGTACTACTAGGTATACTGTTCGGGAGTTTGGAGCATTCCATGGTTCCAGTTCGGGAGTTTGGGGTTCTACAGTAGCTGTACCTGTACCTCCGCAAAAGGGAAGCACTACTAAATGGCGGTTTAACCCCTTTTTACCATCATTCTACTGTGTACCAAAACCAGACGGCTATCCTGCAAGTGGAGATTGTATACCACTGCATGCTGTTTTACCTAGAGCTGGTTATAGCTCTACCATATGTGAGTTGACATCTTATCTAAGTGTCGTTTGTCCTACCACGTACTACCATATTGCACTATTCGTTTGCCTCTGTTTTTGCTTCCTTTTCATATACTGCTATTAATCGAAGCTACCAAGAAAGTCCCATACCAGGACTAGAAGATCTATTGCCACCTGCCGTACCATTTGGTATTTTTTATTCTTTAAAGTTTTATTATGTACTCTTTTTATATCCTTTTTATTGCTCTTATTATTATATACTATTGTGTTTAGAGTATTTTTGTTGCCGCTACCTGTATATTGTTGTTTGACTTGCTAAGGCTATTACATCCTTCTTTATTCTGTGAGTGCCATCCAATAGCGCATTGTAATACATTTTCTATACAGTGTTACACTATGATATATGTTTCTTTGTAGATTCACAGCTGTATCCTCTATATTTTTGGTTGCATCTATACTGTGTTTTAAGGGATCGCTCTGGGATATCTTGTAAAGAAGCTGTCACCACTATCCATTGAGATAAGTGTTGTTTTTTTCACTGCACTATTAATTTCAGGTGTGGGTAATGCTATTCTACGAATTTAAGTAACAAAAATGTATGTGTCCTTAAAGGAACTGCAGAGTCACCCAGACCACTTAATCTCAATGGAGTGGCATGGATGCAGTGCTCTTTTACTTTTAAGTCTGCAATGTGAAAAGAAGAGTTCAATCAATGTCTAGTGGCTATCTACAGGAGAAGAGGTAAACAGCACTGACATACATATCCCAAGGTAGATAAGATGCTAACTATATATATATATTTGCAATACAAAGTAAGTTTCCCCAGGATGCGTTGCACCTGGGAGGTTTATAGCACCGCTCCCTGCATGCTGGAACCTGTGGGTAACACGTGGTGTCGAGTGTGGTGGTATTAGAGCAGCTTTTGCATCGAGTTTTGGAGCCATTCTGGAAATTCAATGCATTCCTATGGGAAACCGCGTTTTGGTTTACAATGTTTTTGCAGTAAGAAACGTCCCAAAGAACGCATTAAATTCGTAAACCGAGGTCCCACTGTATGTACAAACAAAAAAACTTAAGTTGTGTCGATAAGGGATTAATAAATACATCAAACTCAATTTATCTGCTTTTTTTTTTTTTTGAGGGGGCAGCGGGTGCCTTCAGGGGCGCCTCCTGTGCTTTTAGGCACTTAACATGTAAACTTGGCACTGGTTATCAGTAATAGAGTTCATTTTAGTTATCTCTCTTAGTGTTGTGCGTTTCTGGCAGTGTGTGTTCACATGTGATGTAGGTATTTAGACTGGTGTTTAATTAGGTTTACTTTCATGGAACATTTTATTGTCCTCAGTAGCGGTACTTTTACCCATGTTTTTCAGCCTCCTGTCCTGCATACTAATAGCTCACAATTTAGAGGTTCTAGGTAAGCCAATATATTCTGTGTTTTCCCATGTATTCTATAAATAGTGCACTATATGTTAATTGTATGTATTTGACCTATATCAACTATTTTTCAGGGAGAATACCTCCACATTCTTTGTGGGGTTTATTTGTACAAGAGTACATTTCCATTTTCACTAATCGGCTATTTTGGCCTGCATTTTTCATTATACCTTTCTATTTACTGATTTTTTTTTTTTAGTAAATAAACTTGTGTGACTATTTTAAGAAAAACTATCACAGTGCATATAATAAATAAGATTTTCAATAAATATCAAGCAGGATGCTCATCCTGATAATTCACAATTATTATCACTGGATTATTCATTAAAATTATTTGTGTGAAACTCAAGAACTGGATGTCCTCTTGGTAGTGTCTCTCAAGTTAATACTAAAACACAAACTATTGTTTAAAGTCATTAAATACAATGGTGTTTAATGCTTGAGCAATACTTTTATTTACTGTGCAATTAAAATGTGGTCGCATAACATCATGTTTCTACATAGCTAAGAAGAATATGATTTTTAAAGGTAACAAAGTAAATATTTTGAGTATTACTGAGTTTAAGTAATTAATATGCTGTGGTAGTTAGCAGAAGTGTGCATAGAATGTGAAAATAATAGAAAATTGCAATTGCTGAAAATTCTTTGAAGATGTTATTTTTATTTTGCAACATCTTTGGGATCCTTGCACCAGCCAAAGTCTGCATTGGTGATTGTTCCCACAATAGTTCTATCCACTTCACAGTTCAGACCGTTCTCACAAGGGCAATGATAATAAACTCCATATAAGTGCTAAAGAAATACAGAAAGTAGGTTAAATATACATTTTAAATGTTAATATCTTGGCAATGAATAGTACTCTATAAGTAAATTACATTTAATTTGATCCCTCCTATAAGTAATTTCTATAAAAGCCCATGCAGCTGTTTACCGAACCTCAGAGGTGACATTCTCAGAGGTTTTATTCTAAATAGACTGAAAGCAAATAATGAACAAGTAATAATATGCAATGCAAAATATAGTGACACCAGATCCCTAGAGGTCAAAGTAAGTATCAATGAAAAAAAAGAAAACATATGTACACCAACATAAAATAAAAACTTAAAAATAATCAGTCTTTTTGTGACAAAAGCACCGTCATCACTGTGATTTGGAGAGGCCTGCTTGCCAGCCTCTTGCCCTGTGACTATGGCCCCTGGGATGTATTGCCCTTTAAAAGCTTTATTTGGGCATTTTGGATAAATCCATGGGAAAATGTGCCTCTTCCCCTCCCCCTTTTTCCTTTCCTATTGTTTCTCCAGCAGGGCGTTGTCCCAGGGACACTGCCAGACCAGATTAAACTGTCTGCTTTGTCCCTCCTCAATCTCCCATCAGCCCTTGCTATTTTCTGACCCCACCCTTATTTGTACTACAGTGCACTTTTAACATTGGACATATTGAGCGCTCAGATCCAAGCTATCTGGGGATATGTTGGACATATAGGTTAAACATTGTATTATAAGAGTTATACATTGTTATGTGGTTTTTGTAACAGTTTCTGACTTAGAGATATTTCCTGTACCTGGAGATAATTAAGTTACCACAGCCACTTAAGCCAATTATCTCCAGGATAGAGTTGAAGATAGACTGGCCACACAACCTAAATCTGTGGAACTGTTTTGGGAATGAAAGCCATGCTTGCAGTCAGTCAAATGTGAATTCCATAAAACTTTTGAACCCCTGCTGTGATCTTGATGATTTTGGATATGTTGTTCACCCAGATCAGGGATATCCAGAATGTAGGAATAATGGGGATATGTTGTTGTTTTAGGGTGTTTCTGGACTTTGGGTAAAAATTGATATTTTCTGCCTGTGGTAATTGAGTTAGTCCATTGTGTTTGGTAATTGTACCACAGGCAGAGGTGAGGGTTTGTGGACATTAGCTGGGAGTGTCTAACTGTAAAATACTGTGTTGATTGGTTTGTGTCCTTTGTGTCCTGTGCTCTACAAGGTCCACGTTGGTGGCAACCTTGTGGGGAAAATGTGTATAAAAGAAATGCCTTTGTGCTCATTAAACAGACCTGTTCTACCCTTCATGAAGTCTTGGCTCATGTTTGGGGGATTGGAGAACTGCCTACACTCTGGGGATTGCTATAATCACTATACTCCCCAGAGTAAGTTCTTGTAAGAGCTTGTTCTTGTTCCTTCTCTCTGGATTCTAAGAGAGGTCTGCCTACTGGAAGCTGGATCCTGGTTTTGGGTCCAGAGTGGGTGTTAGACGGCAAGACCCCAGCCAAGCTGGGGCGGTTCATGGGGTCTGCGGTGGTTCTGGTGTCTAGTGGAGTGCCTAGAGAGAGCACATGAATAAATATTGCAGGTAGAGTATTTACTATTAAAAGATATAGATTTTACAAACATATTTGACAATTTTGAAAAATTGGTCATGTAAACTAAATGGCCATCAGTCCTTGTGACATATGGGCTTTATATTACATAGTTACATTGGTTGAAAAGAGACACGTACAAGGATAGATAGGGGCTGCACCACAGGGAGTAATGGAATATAGTCTGTAACGGATCACCTGGCACCCCGGCTGGGTACCTCCATTGAAGGATGCTCCTAGCGCTTCCTGAGGACTCCAAGCACTCTGGCAGACACCACAACCACCGAACCAGAGAAGCATATGAATGCTCTCAAGCATATGAATGTTGTATACAGCCAAATAGGAAAAACCATGCGAATAGGTTTACACTCCTAGCAGTCAAACTGGAACAGCATACAATAAATCCTCCCCCAATAATGAGACAACACTTCACTTTGAGGGTTAAGCGGGAACTGTTTACTTGGCACCAAAGGGCCTTCTTTTATGCAGGTTTAACACATACAGGATCGCCCACAGGGGTTTACAGAACCACCAATAAACACGTAGTATACAGTACAAGCACTCCCATACTTCTCCTCCCCTCTGCTTGGGAGATAATTGAGTTTCTTACTGTATCTACTCAATTATCTCCAAGCTGAAAAATCATACTTTTTATACATTTTTATAACTCCCCGATTTTACATCACATATGAATAAAACTTATATTTCTGTGATCAGCATAACTTGGGGAGCAACATATGTAAAAATCACATGAATCCGTCCAGGGGTTAAAAAGTTAGGTTGAGGTCCCTTTATTATCAATTGCAAGCATGGCTTTTCCTTCCCAAACTAGTTCCCACTGATATTCCCAATGATAAAAAATAACAAATAGCCGCTGCGGCCATCTTGGTGAAGGAAAAATATAGGGGAGATGGAAAAAAAAGTGGAGACATATATAAAGAAAGAGATAAGATATTGGAGGGGGAATACCTAAACTGGTAGAAGGGGGATACAGTAATGCACACAATATAATCGAACCACATCATAAAAATAAGCATAAAAATAAGCAAAAGTAAAATATAAAAATCTACATAAAACAATATGAAACAGGATTATACACCTAAATACATACATAAATAGAGCCCTTAAGGCAGGTAAATTAGACAAAAGTAACAAAACCACCTAAAATACCTGAGAGAAAGTTGTTATGGTAGGGATGCTCTAAATCACAATGCCATAGGAAAAACAACTGCGATTGGAATATCCCTAGGATAACATCAATTCCAGGGAGGTGCTGATATGATAAGTGTCAGATATATAAATAATGACAAGAAATAATCTGGCCAAGAAAAGGAGAAATGCTTACAAATAATAGACCAAAAGGGTTTCATATTATAATTAAATTAGTCTAATTTATAAAGTGTACAATATACTAAGGATGGTGATAAAAAAATCATAAGAGTAATAAAAAAGTCTTAAGAAATTAAAAAGGTAAAAATCTGCGTTAAGACCATGGGGTGTCAGGGTTTGTAAATTAAAAACCCACTCCATCTCTGATTTGCCAAGGATTTTTTTAATGTATGTTGCCCCCTCTCCAGGGGATGGTACATTTTTTTTATTCCGATACACTTTGAAAATTGTGAATGATAAAATGTTTGGATACAGAGTGGTTTAGATACCCTTTAGTGATATTCCTGCAGTGCTCATCTAATCTAATTGATAGGCTCCTTGTGTTCATTCCTACATATTGTAGACCAGAGCGGCACTCAAGTAAATAAATCAAATTTTTTGTACTACAGCTAATAAAATCATTGATAATATATGTTTTATTGGTGCTTTTTTAAGTAAAATGGGTAGTTTTGGATTGTACAGAGGGGTCTGTATTTTTACAAACAGTGCAGTGCTTAAACTTATGGAATCCCTTTGCCCCGGCTAAGAATGAGCCTGCTAGTTTCTTGCCTAGTGTATTGTCTCTGGTATAGTTTTTAGTTAAAAAAGAATTGAGATTTGGGCTTCCTCTAAAAACAATCTTAGGTCGGAAGGTTATAACATCTTTAAGATTGTCATCTTGTTTTTATAGGTACCAATGTTTAATTATTCTTTTTATGTGACCACATTTGTTATTATAATTAAAAATAATAGGAAGGGTCTGAGAACCTTACTTCTGTATAATCTTAAACATTAAAAAGGTCTTCTCTTTTTTGTTTTTTAATAATTTTAATTGTGCTGTGAAGGTTGGCTGGTGAGCTGTTTTTCTCAATGAATTTCTGTTTGATAAAATTAGCTTGTTCGTTAAAATAATCTATACCAGTACAGTTCCTACGTAAGAGTAGAAACTGACTTTTTGGGGCACTTTCTAGCAATGGCTTATAACGGCAGCTAGACTGGTCAATAGCAGTATTTGTGCACACCTTCTTAAAGAAAGTTTTTGTGTTGACTTCACCATTTTTATTAAAAATAGTGGTCAACACAAACACTTTCATTAAGAAGGTGTGTCCAAATACTGCCATTGACCAGTCTAGCTGCCATTATAAGCCATGGCATTTATATAATGCTATAATATCGCCTCTAAACTCAACAGTTTCAAATTTGTTTGTTCTTCATAACTAAAATATTCAATTTCTTTTTTTTTGTAGTCCAGCTCTGCACTTCTAGTGCCACAATATCCTTCTTTAGAACAAGTGTCCAAAATTACAAAGCATACTCAATGTGTAGATGTATCATTGATTTATAAAGAGGTACATTATATTTTTATCACAATAATTAATGATCCATTGTGTAGTGTAGAAGAAATAGAACTATGCATTCATATCACAAACTATATTGCACTATTATTTTGTTTATTTTTTTGCTTTGAGGTCAATAATATAGGAATTATCTGTAGTGTGTGTGTGTGTGCGCCAGTGAGCTTGTCTGTAATGAGCATGTATGTGTC